ACATGATTATGAGCAATGCTCATGGCTGCCTTGTTATCACAATACAACTTCATAGGTAATTCTATCTCCATTTTCAATTCTGTGATTACTCTCTTGATTCTGCACAGATTCCATTAGCCGTAGATCTGATGGAGATCTAGAACATACTTCCTTTGTGAGACAACAATTCCTTTCTTTGATCTAACTATCTTCATTCCCAGAAAGTACTTCAACTCTCCCAGGTCTTTGACCTCGATCAAACTCATAAGCAAGTTTCTTTTTTAGATTTTTAGTCTCGGTATGATAATTTCCTGTAAGGATAATATCATCTACATAGCCAATCAATACTACAATCCCCCCCTTACCTAAAACTTCATGAATAGTGTATGATCAGCTTAAGCCTGCTTGAACCCCTGTCTTTTTACAAACTGAGTGATCATGTCAAACCAAGCCCTTGGAGACTGTTTAAGCCCATACAAGGCTTTCTCTAGTTTGCATGCCTTTGAACCGAACCTGTTCTCAAATCGAGGAGGAGATTTCATGTATAATTCTTCTTCAAGTTTCCCATTTAAAAAGGCATTCTTGAAGGGGCCAGTCTACATTAGCAGCAAGTGATAAAAGAATGCTTACACTATTCAACTTTGCAACTGGTGCAAAGGTTTTGTGTAGTTTATGCCATAGATTTGTGTGTATCCCTTGACAACTAATCTTGCCTTATATCTCTCAAGAGTTCCATCTGCCTTGAACTTAGGAGTGAAGATCCATCTACATCCAAGTGTTGGTTTGTTTCTAGGCAGCTTTACAATCTTCCATGTCTGATTCTTTTCAAGAGCCTCCATCTCTTCTAAATCAGCTTTCTTCCACTCAGGTTTAAATAAAGCTTCATGTATGGTTGAGGGAATAGAAATAGAAGAAACACTAGAAGTGAAGGTTGCAAATGATGAGGACAGTTTAGAATAAGAAACATGATTTGAGATAGGGTATTTGACACATGTTCTTCTTTCTTATCTGAGAGCAATTGGTAAATCAAGATCACTGGACTTATTACCTTTTTCACTCTCTGTCATTGAGTCAGATTCATGGATAGATGTAGGTTAGGTTCAGGGACTTCCTCTATCCTTTGATTTGGAACTCTCCTGTCATTAACTTTGCCAACAAACTTACTTGTGTGCTAGTCTTCTTTTTGAATTGGTTCAGTTGTATTTATCTCATTATTTGTTAATTCTTGACTATTTTTTGATGCACCTAAATTTCTAATGAGATGAACATCTAGATTGATGTCAAGAAAATCAATGTTTTCATGGATATGTGGCACTTTTTGAGCATCTTTACTTAAATTCTCCCCCTGAACATGAGTATCAAAAAAAGGTTGATCTTCAACAAAAAAAGTGTCCATTGTTACAAATTAACTTGCAGATTTATCAGGATTTTTAATGAACACTGTGCAAACAAAAAATTTCAAAGGAAGAGAGCCAATCAATTTGTTTGTAGAAAAACAGTTATGAAGTGTGTTGATAGGACTTTTAAATCCTAAAATCTTTGATGGCATGCGATTAATTAAATAAGTAACATATAAAACAACCTCTCCCCACAGATATTTTGGGATTTTTGTTGAAAACATGATTGCACGAGTTACTTCAAGTAAATGCCTATTTTTCCTCTTAGCAATTCTATTCTGAGCAGGTGTATTTATACAAGAGCTTTGATGAATTATTCCTTTTTCAGCAAAAAACTTGTTTAGGTTTTGAAAAAAATATTCACGGCCATTATCACTTCTTACCATTTTAATGTTGCTATTGAATTGAGTTTGGACTGTTGCATAAAAATTCCTACACACATTTTCCACTTCAGATTTTTCTTTGATTAAAAACACCCAGGTGACTCGTGTATGATCATCTATGATTGCTACAAACCATCTCTTTCCTTTTATAGTAGGTACTCCATATGCATCCCAAATATCTCTATGCACAAGAGTAAAAGGACTAGTAGGTTTGTAATTGTGAGGGATATATGAATTTCTATGATTTCTTGCAAGTGCACACATATCACAATGAAACAATGAAACATCTTTATTATTAAATAACTGAGGAAAAGTCTTTTTTAAATAATAAAAACTAGGATGTCCTAGTCTATAGTGAAGTAAATACAACTCTTTATTATTGGAAACAGAAACAGTTTGCAAACAAGCATTTCTTTGACCTCTTTTATTTGGTTGAGTCCCTTCATCAAAGATATAGAGTCCATCTTCCTCCCTAGCACTGCCAATCATCTTCCCCGATGCCAGATCCTGAAAAATGCAATAAGATGGATAAAAAATAATACAACATTGAAGGTCTTTGGTTAACTGACTGACAGAAGCAAGGTTACAGGAGAAATTTGGGACATGTAGGACTTTAGATAGATGAGGAAACTTTAACATTTCCTATCTGTGCAATGGCTGATAGCGAGCCATCTGCAACTTTTACTTTTTTGTCCCTTGCACAGGGTTTATATGAAAAGAAAAGATTTGAAACAGAGGTCATGTGCTCTGTAGCACCTGAGTCAATGACCTGAGTATTTTTTGATTTTCCAGAACAAAAAAATGATGCAGTGGTACCATTTTGGGCATAATAACAAGAAAAAGTTTCTTATTGGATTTTTTTTGAGTAGCTAGAAGGTTAAGGAGTTGCTCTAACCAAACAAAAAAAACGAAAAACCGATGTATTTTGCGGTTAATCGTACCAGATTTTTTAAAACTCACGGTACGGTTAACCAACCGCTAAGAAAAAACGGTACATGGTACGGTTATGGTTTAAATTATGTTAACAACGATAAACCACTAACTGAAATTTTAAATAAATACCAAGTGGATCTTATACGGAGTGTTTCTCCCCTGTACATTAATTGAAAAAAAAAACAGTGTTGCTCCCCCACTGCGAGATACTACGTACTTGTTTTTTAAGGAGCTCTATTGTATATAAGAATTTTTAAGAGTGTATATAAGAAGTTTTAAGAGTTTACTAGTTATATTAAAAAAAGGATGAGCTTTTGACTACAGACTACCTGGTCTACTGGCCGGTACTATGAAGTATGAACTATTATTATTATTATTTAATATTATGCACATATAAATAAGCATATTGACATTCCAAAAAAAGATAAATAAGCATCGAGTGAACTAATAAACTATCAATAGCATTTTTTACAGTAGTTTGTCTTTTAAACATTAGTATGTTCAAAATTTATAAACAACAACAAAATTGTTATGGTTTATTGGTTAACCGCCACCCGGTTAACCAATGTTATGGTACGGGTAACAGTATATAACATTTAGTAACCGATAACACGGTAAACCAAAATGCAGTCATCCGAAATGCGGTTAACCGACCGTGCCCACCCCTACTTGTGTGCCATAGTTTCTTGCAATGATCACACCAGGGTTTCTTCTTTTCATCACCTCTAACCACCATTGTTGAAGAGTCTTCTGGTTCATCATTATGTACTGATTTGTTGTACATAATCTTCCTCCTGCTTTCTTTCAGTCTAATTTCAGAGAATACCTCTCTGATTGAGGGTAGAGGCTTCTATCCCAGAATCCTTCCTTTCACTTCATCCAGGCCTTAATCAACTCCTGCAAGAAACATACACACTTTGACATTCTTTTCTTTCTTCTTGTTCTTGGTCAGATCCTTTGCACTTTCCCATTCATCATCATAATATTGATCCAATTCCTGCCATAGAGACACCATCTCATTATAGTAAGTGGTGATATCTCTATCTCCTTGTTTGGACTGGAGAGAATGGTTTTCAATTCAAAGATCTAAGAAGAGTTTTCAAGATCTGAATATGTTTCTCTGATGGAATCCCACACCTCTTTTGTTGTCTTCATAAACATGTGGGGTTTGGCGATTGATGCCTCCACGGAGCTGAGAAGACAGGCTGTCACCAGTGAGTTTTCTGACCTCCATGAACTGTAGCCTTCCTCACCAGAGAATTTTTCTTTGATTTCTCCCGTTAGGTAGCCCAGTTTTCCCCTCCCATCAATTGCAACCTTGACAGATTGAGATCATTCTAAATAATTTTTTCCATTCAATCTATGACTAGTGATAAGCATAGCTGAATGCATAGAAGACTGGTAAATTGGTAATTTGTCGTAGAGCTAATTTGGGAGGTAAGGTTACTGGTCTGGGATTGTTCAGAATCAACGGTTTCCACCATTGTGATGTTAAACCAAGAGCTTTGATACCATGTAAGTTTTGGGAATAAATTTCCTTGATTTCATTGAGCCATACGGCCAGAATAGGTATACAATGTACATGTAATAACCTCCCTGTGGAGATCCTAAATAATAGGATCTAGATAACTACAAAGCTTATCTAATAATTAATGAAAGCAATAACCTCTAAGACTTATCTACACGGCTACATTTGTACTAAGTCTAATAATTAACAATTAATGTAACATTTTCTACAATTTTCAAGTTTTCTTTCTCCATCATTTGCGATGGAGCCAAAGACTCATTATTTTTTGGTTTGGGAGTATGGTGGAATAAAGCAAAATGGCTCACTAATTTGTCTGCGCTTCTTTGTTATGAACCAACCGTTAGTCCATGCAATTTTCGACGCGATTTTCACTATGGGTCATCCGGAAACAGTCTTTATGTGCTTTAGTACAAGGGTAAGACTGCGTACATCCGACCCCCTTACCCCACTGTAGGTGGGAGCCTTTGCACACTGGGGTGATGATGATGATGTCTTTTCAACTTTTCTGTGATTCGTGTTTGGAAATATTTAACATATTACCTGGAAAGTATCTTTGTTACTTCAAACTCGACTCTTTTTCTTTAGACAAAAAGGTGTTTGCAATAAGGCTATTTTTTGGGACTGAGGGAGTACCAATTTCCCCCTTTTTCCCTTCTTCTCCATCTCAATTCTCAAGTGCAGCAGTTTCTATGAATTTCTAGAAGTTTAGTACTTTAGTAATTGAGGATAGCGTGGGTAGAGTATTACATCCCTAACTGATTGGTTTTACCAATTTTGCAGTAACATATCAGGGACATCTTTGAAGGGTAATCTCGCACCAGAGTTGCATTTAATCTCTAATTTGCAAGAACTGTGAGTCCTTTTATGAAGTACTCCCTCCGTCCCTTAAAACTTTGCCATCTTTCCTTTTTGGGACGTCCCAAAAAACTTTGACACTTTCCCTTTTAATCAATTATTTTGTGGTTTCTGTTATTTCTCTCTCCTCTGCACAAAACTCAACCACACAGTTTTTACTTTATTATTCTCCGTGCCTGTCAACTTTGGCAAAGTTTTAAGGGACGGAGGTAGTACATTTTTATGGAGATGACGGGTGATCATTAATTCTTAGGTGTTTATTTACAGTATATTGCATGGAAACTTGCTCCTAGGCAAACTACCTAAGGAAATAGGCTTGCTGAGAAATCTTAAAGTATTGGACTTGGGCGCTAACCGGCTGACAGGACCAATTCCTTCTGAAATCAGCAATTTATCCAATATTTCAAAAATGTGAGTGTACCCAAGCCAGAAGTTTAACTTTGAGTTGTAACTTGATGTTGTAACTTAGTGTTCAGTGTTGTTTGGTTTATTGCAGAATACTTCAATCCAATGGGTTGACTGGGAGTTTACCCCCCGGACTTGGGAACTTGGAATACCTTGAGGAGCTTAGGCTGGATAGGAATAGACTCCACGGGGTACTGCCAGCCAGTAACATCACAGGTTCTACATCTGGTGGAAAAGGGATGTAAGTATCTTAAAATAACAGTACATCCATTTCCTCTAAATAACACTCACAAGTAGTACATAGAGATCTTGCTGGACAAATTCTGTACATTAAATCCGGAAATCGGAGTCCTTAAGCTATTACAATGGCAGAACAAACGCAAACGACGTACAAAGCACGGTGATTAGAAAGAAAAATACAAGTGAGACACTTCAAGTAGTCTCTCCCAGTTCCCAGACCAATCCCAAGTTCTTCTACTCTTTTCCCCTTTACCCGCTCATTATTAGTTTACTCTCCTAAAGGGCTGGACCGCAGCCCTAAGTTACTAGGCCTAGAACCCTTTTATTGTACAATATTAAAAGACTTAATATTATTCTTATTAGGAGGAATGGCTGGGTTACTATCATCACTCCCCCCTTTAACTACCACCTTGTCCTCAAGGTGGGCAGTAAGAAACTGATCTGTCATTTGGTTTCAGCGGGTTATTTGCTACATCCAGTTCAGACTTCTGATCACTTGTTCCTGTCTCTTCTTTTGGCTCTTCCATCAGGAAAAAATTGATAATGTTTCATTACACAAACATGCTCTTTGCTCCATTTGTTTCCACATTTGAAACATAGGCCCTTTTTACTTCTTTCTCCTAACGCTGTTTGTGTCAACCTTTGGCCTCCCTCCCATGTCTTATTCGTTTTTGGTGATTCCTCCAATTTGTTCTCTGAATGTGTTCTCTCATGAGTATGTGACTAAATATGAGGTGTTCTTCCCTTTGCTGCTTACACCCAGTTCAAATGCCTGACCATAGTCCCTCCCTGTTCTTTTCAGCCCCTTTTGTCTTCTTCCTTATATATCCCTGATCTCAGAGCAGTGTTTTTCTCTTCTAATAGCAGAGCTCGATCCATTAATTCAGATAGAGAAGTGGATGGATAAAGTTTCAGGTCAGCTCTCACCGCATCCTTTAATCCATTCAGAAAAATTCCCTGCAACATCTCTGTATCAGTGTGCCTCAGCGGTGCGACTACCAGTTCAAATCTCTCCTTACAATCCATTACGCTTCCATTTTGCTTGACGCTGAGCATGGGTCCAAATGAATTTTAAACTGATTCCGGTTGGAACCTTCTGATTAAGGTTGCTTTCAATTGTTCCAAGGTCCGATCATCATTTTGTCCCTCCCACCATCGGTATCAGTTTAAAGCCTTGTCCTCCATGGTAATGATTACCACCTCAATCTTATCCGTTTCTGGTACGTTATTCAACTTAGAGAACCTTTCTACCCTGATGGTCCACCCATAAGCATCCTCGCCGTTAAATAGCAGAAGATCAATCTTCCTTCCGGTTCTAACGAACGTTTTGTTCGCACTGGTTTCACGCTGAAAAGAGGTGGATCGTGAGGTTCAGATTTACCTTCGGAGTTCGATGAAGCCTGGCTCTCGTCACGTTGTCATCGTCTCGGGGTCCTTGATTCATCTTGCAATCAGGAAGAGCTTTGGTTTTCATCCTGCGGTTGTCGTTTTGACATCTTTGAATGTCCCCTTGAACGATGGCAATCCTGATGCATGAAATTCCGCTGCTCATCCATTCGGTGATCCTGGTTCAGCATCCATTTTCGCATCTCATCCACTACGTTGTGCAAATCCTGAACATTGTTCTCCACCATCTCCACTCTGTTCTCCATTCTCGCTCGCGTCCAGTTCATCCACAGTGTCGCAGGCTCATGGGCTCTGATACCAAAGATAGAGAACCGGAAAATCTCTGTATATTAAATCTGGAAATCGGAGTCCTTAAGGTACTACAGCTGTAGAATGAACGCAAACAACATGCAAAGCACGATGATCGGAAAGAAAAATACAAGTGAGACACTTTGAGCAGTCTCTCTCCCAGTTCAGAGCTCAATCACAAGTTCTCCTACTCTTTTTCCCTTACCTGCTCATTATTATATTTCTAAAGGTCCGGCCCTAAGTCACTGGACCTAAGAGAGTTATTGTACAATATTAAAAGACTTAGGACATGTTTACTTCACAAGTTACTTAACGGTGTTTATTAAGACTCGCGTTAGTAAGCGACGCATAAAATAAGCAGTGTTGTAAGCTCGTGTTTACTTCAAAGGATTTAAAACACCGCTTAACATTTAAATGTCCAAAATAACCCTATACATATATAGACACACAAACATTCATGTACACAAGTATATAATATAATACGTGGGGGGCACCTCATGCCCGTACCCCTACCCCTACATGTACCCCGCCGTAACCCCTACCCTACCCGTACCACGACCCCTTACTAGCGTTACCCATATCCCCTGCCCCCTAATCCTCTTACCCCCTACCCGTACCCCCAACTCTTGTACCCCCCTTACCCCCTACCTCGTACTTGTATCCTTCCTTACCATTCCCCCTACCCCCACCCATTAATCCCTACCCCCTAGGGTCGGGGTAAGGGTGATGGTAGGTAGGGGTAAGAGTAATGTATAGTGGTATGACCGTGGTAGGGGTATGCAAATGTTAAGGGTTATGGTGTTAGGGTAGGGGGTAAGGGATAGGATGGCGGGATAGGGGGTAGGGGTATGGTTGGGGTTGGGTCGAGGTAGGGGAAGGTGGTAGGGGTACGGGGTACAGGTACGAGAATGGGTAGGGGTGCGAGTGGGTAAGGGTATGGTCGGGGTAGGGTAAAAGGTTATGGTAGGGGAAGGGCTAGTGGTAAGGGTCGAGGTGGGGTTAGGTAAGGTAGGTTAGGGGGTGCAGTTGGGTAAGGTAGGGTTAGTGGGTAAGGATGGGGTAGGGCGAGGTGGATAGAGGTAGGGGTAGGGGTAGAGAGTGGGGTGAGGGGTAAGGTCGGGTAGGTTAGGGGTAGGGTGGGGGTGGGTAGGGGTAAGGTTCGAATAACAATAATGGGTAAGGGCAAGGGGTAAGAGTAAAGGTAAATTTGGAAACTGAAAAAGCTTAAAGCGCCGCTTAGTTAATACAGGGGGGTATGCTTAGTAAGCGGCACTTTAAGCACCTCTTTCGGTTAGTAAGCGGCTTTTTAAGCAACTTGCTGTTTACTTCACCTGTCTTACTAACCTAACTGTGACTTTAGCAGCGAAGTAGAAACGTCCTTAATATTATTCTCATTAGGAGGAGTGTTTGGGACCCTATCATTTTCTGATTCCAAATATTTTGTTTATATTTGCTGTTATTTTTTCTTCAAATTTTCAAAATACAAATGTTTGTATGTTTTTGTATACACGATTTGTATTATCGCTCATAAAAAATAGATAAGGCATCTCAATTCCCGTAGGTCTACTTTACATGTTACTATCTCCAAACCACCTTGTGAGTGGTCCAGATGGATATGTTTAGTTTGGTTTGGTTTGATGTAAAACATATATAATTCTTAATTTAAAATTTAATGCTTCATAAAAAGTGTCAAAAACTCATGCAGAAACACAGTTTTCCTGTTTTGTGTATTAAAGAAATGGAAAAAATTTGAAAAATCGTAGCATTAACAAACGAAACATACACAGTTTTCATGGAAAATTGAAAATTTATTACCCTATGACATGCTCAGAATAGATCATGTATGACTTGCCTTTATTTGTATATTAGGGATATCCATGGTGGCTACATAAGTGTTTTTTGTCATTCATCTCACCTTAAAGTTGTTGATTTCTCCTTTAACTTCTTTGTTGGAAGTATACCCAAGTGCTTGAGTTATCTTCCAAGGTACTTTCATTCTTCTTTGTCAACTTTGTCATTTTAATCTCTTTCATATTTTATACTTCTAAATCAAATGTATTCTAATCTCTGTGTAAAGCTCGAGCTTTCAAGGGAACTGTCTACAAGTGAAGGCTATTGAACAGCGCTCCGCTGTACGATGTGGTATGTTATAGTAGCACAAAAACTATCAAAGATTGAACCACCCAAAATAAACTGTCCTATTTTGGTCTCATGATTATGGGGCACGCCTATGGATACCTTGTCACTTTTTCAGGCTAATTCCTATACAACTTCCGGTCTGTTTTGTAGGATAAGTGATAGAAAAGCACCAAATGTTGCAAAAATGCATATAGTAGCTTAAATTTTGGACCCAATTTATCATTGTTGTAAGTTGTAACAATATCAGTCCAGTCCCTAACGCCTTATTATTCCATGTCTAGGTGCTAGACTTTCCTTGGATGCTTGTGCATTATCCCTCTTAGCTCTTGTGTAGTTGTACTTATATATCGCCTAACCCCAAGGTCCTAACAAATCCTTGTCTAGGCAGGTACCTGGTCTCGAGCGAGTCTTCTCTTTATAGCAATACCTGTTACAACATTTCTCTTTAGAAAAGTTGGACAAGCTAGAACTATGTAAAAGATGTTAAGACATCCCACATTGATAAAATAAAATAAGAAAGCTCAATATATAGAGCATTGGGTTACACTTCCTATGAGGTTATATTTAGGATGATGGAACCTCATGGCTTCATAAAAAAAATTACATCCATAGTTGTTTTCGCCTACGACTCCATCAAGCTTATAAAACAGAACATTATGGTTTGGCACTCAATGTTTTATCTTCTCTTGTGCAGGCAGTACACCACATGGTAAGAACCATACGATAGTTAACACGACACCACACCCGCTGGCAGATAATCCCAGTCTGCGTCAGCCTTCTTCAAAGCCTACCTGGCTTTTAGCCCTGGAGGTGGGGACAGGAATCGCGGTGGGTACTCTATTTATTGTGGCTCTACTTACTACCTTTCAAAAGCTCAAGACCAAAGCTTCTATCATTATCCCTTGGAAGATGTCAGGTAGCCAGAATGAAGACCATATGCCCATTTTTGTAGGTCAGTATCTCTGCTTTGCCCTGTCTCACTTTATACGTCTATGCAACCTCTACCTTTCTTAGAATTTCAACATTACATACTCGGATACTTCCTCTGTCCTGCAAAAGAAGTTTCCACTTTGACTTAACACATATTCATATAAGATAATGTTTTGTTTTGACTTTCTAAGTATACCTTTACTTCATGTCAAATCAAGCAAAAAGTAGACAAAAAGTAAGGCTAATTGTGAGATGTCCTTATCTTTTTTATTATCTCATCTTATCTTATCCTTTTTAGCTCCAATTTCATATATCGATTCATGTTAGCCGACCCCAAACTCTTTTGGGACTAAAGCTTGGATGTTGTTGTTGATAGAAATGAGAACTTCATTTCGGGACACCCTAAAAAGAGAAGTTAGAACATCTTTTCGGGACAGAGGGAGTATGAGATAAGCATGTATATGTAGAAGTTTTATTATTGATGGAACATTGGTATTGATTGGAAACAAAGTACATAGTCTATACAGGACATGAGTGCATACATGAAGAAAGAAAATAACAATGAAATTAGGAAGGGAATAACAACAAGCGCTAGTAATTACTTAATAATCTTAATATAATATTTTCTAACATACCTCGGTGTCAGAAGTCCCCCCTGTTTGGCGAGGTTATAACGGGTATGTACTATATACGGTTGGGCACTTGGGTGCATATACACATCCCTTCCCATTGCACATTGGAGGTCCTTATACTTTTGGTTAATGAGGGCCAATGCAGGTATAATCGCACAAATATATATAATGTATATGAAATAAATTAGGACACACGAGCTATAAAAATCTTCACCAACTCAAATTTGTTATAGAATTGGCATTTATTGCCTTTTTTTGAATAATAATTCACCATTAAAACAATTTGTGTCGTCTAGCCCCTAAACTTTCCAAGCATTAGTGCATTACTTATATCATGACAAATTGTCTCAGAAACTGAGATGCTGAAGGATGTGGTGAGATACAGCAGGCAACAACTAGAGGTAGCATGTGAAGATTTCAGTAACATTATTGGATCTTCACCCGACAGCTTCATCTACAAAGGTACCATGAGAAGTGGGCCTGAAATCGCTGTTGTATCCATGTGTGTCAAGGAAGATTATTGGTCAGCGCATCTTGAGCTTTATTTTCAGGATGAGGTATATTTATCTCTTTCATTTCATATAGCTTATATGCCTGTGGGTTTATTCTCTGATATTATAGTTTCTGATATAATTTAAAGAATGGTAATATATTTTTACTTATACAACCTCAGGTTGCAGAACTTTCTAGAATAAATCACAAAAATATATCAAAACTGCTAGGCTATTGTAGAGAAAGCAGTCCATTTACAAGGATGTTGGTGTTTGAGTATGCATCAAATGGGACACTATATGAACACCTTCACTGTAAGTAAATAATCAGGAGCTTGTTTGGAAAGGGTTTTTGGTTGAAATGGCTGAATGTACTGAATTTTCTGAAAGAAAAATGTGATGGCAACTACTATATCAACCAAATAAGTAAGTCAAAAGCTGCATTAGCAGAATAATCCAAATAAGACTACTAAACTGACCATATATCCTATTGGCTAGAGTTTAACATGCATTAAAGCTGCTTCCAATTGATGGTTGTAGATGGAGATGGGTACCAGTTATCATGGATGAGACGAATGAACATTGTTATTGGCATTGCTAAGGGGCTAAAATATCTCCACACTAATCTTACTCCACCTTTCACTATTTGTGAACTCAATTCAAATTCTGTGTATCTCACTGAAGATTTTTCTCCAAAGGTATATCCCAAATCCCTCTCCAAAGCTAATAACCTTCCAATTGCTGGAACTCAACTGATTGTAGTTGCCATTTTCACATGAAAAGCAGAATCTGTTTTAGATTAGCTTTGGATAGGTTTTCTTATTCAATCTTATTAAATGTTGGGTGTTCTATCCTTGAGTGTGTTAAGGATCTCTTCTAGGGCCTCAAGCGATATCTCAGAAGAGAAGAGCCAATTGAGACCTTAGGATCAATGTTGTTATGTTCAGATTATCTGATGAAAGGGTAACGATGTATGAGTCTTAAGGTGGAATTAATTGGTGCTTGATCTAGTCAAGACACATCAGGATTTATTCTTCCAAAAGTACTTTAGTCATAAATATTAGGTCCATTATATAGATATTACAAGAGTCCTAATTATGATAGGAAGCATAAGGATAATAAGAAGTTTCTTAAAACTGAATAAGGAAATAATATTATGAAAAGGAATTAACTCGGACATAATTAATTTAATGCTGCCAGTTGCATTAATTATGCCAGTTGCCAATTTGCTAGCTTTCCTTAGCCTCATGGTCACCCACGTAAAATATTCTGATCCTGCTCGATTTTTCCAACTAATTTTCCTGAGCCTTCTCGTTCACGCCTTCGTTGATATACTTGTCCATAGAATGGATCCATAACATCATTCCCCCAATCCCCCATTAATTGAAAGCTTGTCCTCAAGCTTGAAGTCATCATATGTGGATCAAAATGTATCCAATGACTTCCATGAAGCTACTTCCTTGAACTGCTCCTGCCACTGAACCCAGGGTGGGATAGAGCCCGGGTTCCCTGGTTGCTGCTCAGGGGACTTGGGGGTCGCTGGTCGAAACACTACTGTAAACATTGACCGCTGGTCCGTAATAGCTGACTTATGGTCCGTAGACTGTCATTTCCTTCAAGCTTTGACTAACGATGTTGTCCAGATGAAGATGAGTGGGCTTCGGGTCGGACAATTACGTGTTTTCCGGGATTGATGAAGAATGGCGGCCAGAGCTTTGACTTAGATTATGCAAGATGTTTCGTGGTGGCTGTTTTTTTTTGCTCCGTTCATTGCAGAATGGCAGCCAGAGCTCCGCTGGGGAAGACAAACAGGAAAGACAGCGTGGATGCGACCCTGACGAGAAAGCCTGCGCTGATTGGACCAAACTGTTCCACTAGTCCGCGTGGACTACTTAAACCTTTTGAATTCTTGGCTACGTAGCACGGAAACGCGAAACGGGAAACGTTAAATGAGAAACTCGAGAAACGTAATTTCTAAAAGATATAGGATACGAAACGTGGGGGAAATACGTAATTATTAAAAAAATATAAGGATATTTCTATAAATTCTTTTTCATATGTAAGGAACAAATACATTTAGAGCACACATGACGGATGCGATCATATCAGCACTAATGCACCGGATCCCATCAGAACTCTGAAGTTAAGCGTGCTTGGACAAGAGTAGTACTAGGATGGGCGACCCTCTGGGAAGTCCTTGCGTTGCATCCCCCACCCCCCTTTTGTTTCACCACGTCGTTGCCATGCACTTTCGTGACGCGCGCGGGTGGAGATGTTCACCCGGGCAAGGAGTGACGTTATCCCACATAATTTCGGCGTTCTGAGCGCAACCCATTGCTTGGCCATGGCCCCTGCCGCTTTTCGACAAAATTCTGCTGTCTGGGCCCCCGTAATTTTTCCATGTAATTTGTTTAATGACCCAATAATAAAAACATTCCACATGTTCAAATTTTAAAATCACAACATATTAGTATATAATTAAGCATAAAATGAAATAAAAATCTAACAATTCGTCGTGTTACGAATGTCACAATGTTGTGAAAAAATTCACTAATTTCTTTTAAAAAGACACTATTTTCCATCATAGAATCTTTTAAGAAAGAGAAAAATTGGAAACCTGTTTCTGGAATGCCAACTCTTTAGGGAAACGAGTTTCCTAATTCTTCTTAATTACTGAGACGGCCCTGAAGCATGAATTTGAAGTTTCTGAAGTTCCGAAACGCTTCCGAATTTCCGAAATGGGGAAATGTGAGCCGCGGAGAGTTTCCGTGCTTCATAGTATTTCTTGGCGCCTTTGTATACGGCGCTGATACGCAAGAGGATAGCAGGCCATGTCTTTGGGCCTGATCTGGAAATTTTTTCAATCCTAGTGGGCTCCGATCACGGGTTGCTGCTCTCTGGGTTGGACAAGGGACCTAGCCTTTATTGGTTTGGAACCTAGTTCTTTTTTATGTTTTATATTTAGGATGGACTAATACAACTTAGAAACCATGTATTTAGGTTTAATTAGTCTAGCACATATAGCCTTTTTGATATTTTTGATACACTGTAAATGTTATTTTTGGATGCTATATACTACATTCGTCCCATTTTATGTGTCGCGTTTGGTTTTGGCACAATTATTAATAAAATGGTTGAAAAGGTAAAAGTCGTGGTTGAGATTTGAGTATAATAAAGTCAATTGTTGTGAACCACATATTTCTTTCCAGAAAAGGAAATGTGACACTTAATTTGAGACAATCCAAAAAAGAAAGTAAGACATGTAAAATGGAATGGAGGGAGTACTATTTAAATTTCATCTAAAAAAGAAGTTTCATCGGACCATCATGCTCCCAACAGCGGAGAACTGCAACTGGCTGAAGAGCAGAATGAAGGTCGTCAAGTGGGGGCAAGCCCCTTATGACTGGTGGAACACGCCTGTGATGGGGTTTAAGTTGGACACATGATGTAGCTACTAGCTAGCAAGATGTCATGATCAATGAGTTCCCTTTCGACCCCTATTAATTGGGTTGTCCCAGGAGTATGTGCCACGAGTTTGGGTTGGTTGTGCCCATACTCTAGACGGAATCAGGTATCACCCAACGCTGTATGATAAGAGGTATTTGATAGAGAGCAGGGTGAGCAGGGGACGGGGACGGGCCTGAGCCCACCTTCGTGGGCCGGCTGTGGGCCATTTAATTAATTTTAATTATTCCTTTTATTTTGTTTCTGAAGTTTTCTGAATATTATTTCCTTGAATACATTTACAAGAAGTACATAAGCTATTTATACAGATAGGAATCCTGAGAGAGTCTATTCAGCACCCTAGGTGACTGTCTAAATACTAAACATAAATGATTGAGAACTGAAAAGACAGCAGCTATTAAATACAACCTGAAGCACTAAAGACACATAATTACAGTAATAATAAGGAAAATAAATCCTAGATTAATGATGTCTCTTCGTTTTATCAACAGTTTCCTAGTATGATTTAATTAGGACTTCTATTCTAATTAGAATTAGAGGTTTCCCATTTTTATTTAGTTTCCAAGAATGGTTTAATTAGGACTTCTATTCTTATTAGAATTAGAGGTTTCCTATTCTATTTAGTTTCCTAGTATGGTTTAATTAAGATTTCCTATTATTATTAGACTTAAAGGGTTATTTAAACCCCTATGGAGGGCTATTGGGATTATCAATTAATAATATTGGAGTTGTAGCTTTAAGCTTGGGCAACGGTTGCTAAGCGTTGATTATTTTATTTTTCTGCTTTCATCAATTGATAGAGAGCAGGGAGAAGATGGGACGGAGACAGGCTTGAGCCCACACTTATGCTAGTTGATAAGTGTAGGGAGCTGGAAGTTTTAACTTTTAACGATTGGGTTTTGGTGGAATATGTGTAAATCTAAAACTTGTGCAGGTGATAGAAATACGAGTAAAGCCTGTACAACTAATAATAAATGTTACGGGAAAGTATATTGTAGAAGGGGGAAGAATAAAGGTTAGTAGTTAGCTGAGGTGGCCTTTTCTGGTAGTAGTTGAGAAGAGAATAATTAGTTGGGTTTGGGAAGTTAGTAAGCAGGCTGTTAGACAGTTAGATTGGGCTGGGAGAGATTGAGATATTGGTATCTCGTTTCTTGTAAAGTTCTTGTACATTTCCACCATTAATGAGAGCTTGAATTGTTTCTTGAATTCTATTCTTTTACCGTAAATTGACTAGAATACCTGCGAGAGTCTATCAGCAGGGCTGGACTTTAGGAGGGTTTGGGAGTTCAATATTTTCATGCTAGGTCAGCAGGCATGGCTGCTGCTGACAGAACCCAACTCTTTAGTAGGGTGGATTTACAAAGCTAGTTACTACCCAAAGGGATCTTTTTTACAGCTAAAATTGGGAATAGTTCATTGTTTGTGTGGAGAAGTTTATTAGATTCTCAAAGTGCTTTGAAAGAAGGTTATCGGTGGTGAGTTGGGGATGGTAAATCCATAAATATTTTGGATGAGCCATGGCTGCCTGACGCTTCAAATCCTTATGTGGTTACGCCGTGTATGTTTGAGTTGGAAGGGGCAACGGTGAAGGGGCTGGTTCCGGGATAGGGACTTAGTTAGGACTACCTTTGAGTGTGAGGGAAGTTCTCAACCAAGTGATTTGGGTGTGGGAACAGAATAGTGTTTATACAGTTAAAAGTTTTTATAGGTGGGTGGTAGGGGAGGCTGATTCGTTGGAGTGGTTGGGCTGGACGGTGATGTGGAAGTTCAAGATTCTGTCAAAAGTTAAAATGTTGTTTTGGCAGGTGTGTAGTGTGTCTCTTCCTACAACTGAAGTGCTGAAAGGTAAACGGGTAAACTTCCCTGAGAGGTGCAGCCTGTGTAGAGTAGAGGACGAGTCACTGGCTCGCTGCTGCATGTTGTCGCGAGATGTGCAGTGGCTGCTGCAGTTTGGAGTCATTTAGGGTGGAGTTTGTTGGGAGCATTAGCGGGGCCCTTTCTATACTGGTTGCAGGCTGTTTTTCCGATGAAAAACTGCAGAGGAAGTTCAGGTTTTGCGTGGGAGATTGGGGGTTATGACAAGAGAGGAATAACAGGTTGTGAAGAGGTTCTCGAGCTTGTGCAAGGCATATTTTAAAATGCAGTGGCTGCAAATCGGCTCAATTCAAGTTGCCGTTGGGCCCGGTAGTGAGGCAGGCGGGTTCTCCAGTGTGGCAGCGACTGGCGGGGGAGAGTAAAAGTCAACGTTGATGCTGCTACCAGAGGTAGTCGGCGAGGTCTCAGTTGGGTGGTCCTGGATTCGCAGGGAGGATTTCTGGCCAGAGTTCCCAAGCCTTGGGCTGGATTGTGTTCCACAAGGGAAGCTGAGATGATGTGTATTCCAGAGGCACTTAGTTGGTTGACAAAATCAAAACTGGCATTTTGTGGATATTGAATCAAATGCTTTAAAGGTTATAAATGTGATCCAGTGATCCAGTCGTGCGTTTCAAACGGCATTTGGTCTTCTTGCTGATGATATCACAAATATGAGCACTAGTATAAATTTCTTTCAGGTAAGACGTTCTGCAAACCAGGTTGCTCACTTGTAAGCTCGAGTAGCTGGTTCCGTGTCAGATTTGGTTTGATCATCCTCATTGTATTTCTCAATGCTTGGACCATGATTTGATTAATGATATCAGAATTTATTCTTCTCAAAAAAAAGAAGCTACTACTTTTACTGATTTGACTTGGTATTTAATTTCATAACTTTTAGTCTATTAATATTTGCTTATAGAGAAATATAATGTACTAATACTGTGTAGGTATTGGAATCCTAAACGTTAAACCTAATAGGATTATGAAACTATATACTACGAAAACTATATTACTATTTTCTTATACTTCATCACTAAATTGTACTAATGTACTATTTTCTTATACTTCAATATTAGTCAAAGACTCACTGTTTTTTGGCTTGGAATATGATGGAGTAAAGCAAAATGACTCACTAAATTGTCTGCGCTTCTTTGTTATGAAGCAACCGTCAGTCCATGTAATTTTTGATGCGATTTTCACTATGGTCATCCGGAAACAGCCTCTTTGTGCTTTAGTACAAGGGTAAGACTGCGTACATCCGACCCCCCCTTACTCCACCGTAGGTGGGAGCCTTTGCGGTACTGGGGATAATGATGATGATGATGATGATGATGATCACTAATCATTCACTATAACCCATAGTATTGTGTTTGCATTGGGTCCAGTTGGTTGATTTTGAAAGCTGGAAGGCAATACTATCAAGATCAGAAAGGAGTTTGGGAGCTATGAGTAGTGAAGATGCGGTTAGCGTCTTCCCGAGCTCTATGGAGAAGCGTCATATTGATATCCAGGGTAACATCTATTCATTCGGGTTGCTTCTTCTTGAAATAATCAGTGGCAAACCTCCATACTGCAAGCACAAAGGGTCCTTAGTGGATTGGGTAAGACTGATTGAACCTATTGCTACTTAAATTTATGTGGATGAATAATTTTTTAAACTTCTAGTATGGTCCCGCCCACCCTTTTGACTCATCCACCGCCGCAACAAAATGATATTGTAAAAGTAGGGTTATGGAGGTGAAAACTAAAGGGAAAAGGGGCAGATAAGGCCACGTACTAAAAAAAAAAAGGTCAAATAAGGCCTTATTTATGAGACTCTGTCCGGCCTTCGTCATTTGGGTTGGTTCTCGGTGGAATTTTTTGATGAAATTTTTTGAGCATCTTATTCAGTAAGTCTACTTTACTCATACCAAATTTAAGCTAAAACTTCAATCGGGAAGCCATTCAAATGAATTCTTGAAGATAATTGCGCAGTTAAAAGCGCAGTTACCTTCAAGAATTCATTTAAATGCTTTCTCGATTAAATTTTTATCTGAAATTTGGTATGAGTAAACTAGACTTAATGAATAAGATGGTCAAAAAAATTAATCAAAAAATTCCACCGAGAACAACCCCAAATGGCGAAAGCCGGACAGAGCCTCATAAATAAGGCCTTATTTGACCTTTTTTGGTTAGTACGTGGCCTTATTTGCCCCTTTTCCCAAAACTAAATGATGAAGCTCATCATTTCGGCAAATGTATCACTTCTTCATAGGCAAATGAATTCCTTGAAGTACCGGAGGCAATGGCGTACGTGGTGGATCCGGAGCTGAAACATTTCAGATATGAAGACCTCAACATAATATGTGAGGTGATCAAATTGTGCATCCAACCAAGTTGGATCAGCAGAACTTCAATGAGTGAGTTGTGCACTCTGCTTGAAGGAAATATTGACACTTGTATGTCTGTGGAGCTTAGGGCTTCTTTAGCATGGGCTGAACTTTCCGCCCTCTCCTGAGAGATTCACTCTTTATTACAAATATACAGACCATCTATCTATATTTTTTTCCTCCCATTTTTTCTAGCATCTTGAGTTGTGTGAGATCTGTGCAAATTTTGTTTGCCATAGAGATGCCGAACTGGCTAATTTTCTTTTCCGTTGTAATTTGTAAATGACCAGAACATCTTTGTGCCACAATACCAAATAGTCAGTAAAACAAAAGCTTAAATTGCCGACCCACCCACCCCGAAAATATGTATATATATATATATATATATATATATATATATATATATATATATATATATACACACACACACACACACATATATATATACACACACACCACACACACACACACACACACACACACACACACACACATATATATATATATATATATATATATATATATATATATATATATATAGAGAGAGAGAGAGAGAGAGGGTCGAGTTCTAATGAGAAGACATCTTAACGTGAGAAGTGAGAAGTTACACATTTACCTATTCCTGATGCATTTTTTTGCTAATCTGACGCACTTTTTGCGATGGCAGAAAAGTTCCGATTAATTACGGAAATGCCACCACGTCTAGCATCACTTTTTTAATATTTTTTGCACTTTCCCGTGCACTTTTTTGCTAATCTGATGCACAGATCTTAAAATGAACGCACCAGATGCACTCTCACTTCTTATGATTAGCACTCTTCTCATTTGATCCTTATTCTATATATAATGTTACATAAAATTAATAAAGTTAATCTGGTATTAGTTTCAGTGACATGCAACACTATATCACCAAAAAATTCAATGACAAACTAAGGCATAACAAACATATTGAGGTATGCAACACTATATTACCAAAAATTGTAGTTACATTGACAAATTCCTTATTATGCTCGATGACATATGAGCATTCACACTTTGCTTATTCAAATTGAGATCACAATAAAACATAAATCACACTATTCAATACTCAATCTCTTTCGTTTTTGAGAGTGACTTACATGCATGTTAAAATTTATAGCAAATTAGCACATGAATCATATTGTTACATTCTCAGACATACATTTTGAACTTCAAAAAGCAAAGTACATAGTTCGTTCGGATGAAATACCTTGCAACTGTTTTGCCTTTAGACCTCGTCATTTTCTCGATATGCAAAACGTTCTTCTTCGTTCGGATTCTTACTTTTCCTTCTTCAGAATGCACTTCGAATGGTGGAACTCTGTCTGATGGAACTTGATGGAAGCGTGAAGTCAGAAAGTTTATCGAGAAATGTAAATAGCCAATGTCAAAAGACGCAGCTATGGGAAGAAAAGACGCGCCGATTTCGAGCCATCATCGACATGGAGCCACCCCGCAACGTCAAAGAGGTACAACGGCTGACAGGGCGACTGGCGGCCCTGAGCCGTTTTCTCTCCAAGTCAGCCGAAAGGTCACTCCCTTTCTTCCGGATCATGCGCAAAGCTAACAGCTTCAAATGGACGACGGAGTGCCAGGAAGCGTTCGAAGAGCCGAAGAGGTACCTTTCGTCCCCACCCGTGCTCTCCAAGCCCAAAGCCGGCGAAACCCTCTTCTTGTACTTAGGGGTGAGCACGTCGGCCATCAGCTCCGTGCTCATCCGTGAGGACGAAGGGGTGCAGAAGGCCAATTTCTACATCAGCAAGACATTAAGGGAGGCCGAGCTCAGGTACTCCTCCATTGAGAAGACGGTGCTAGCCATCGTCCATACAGTGAAAAAGCTAGGGCACTACTTCCAGGCCCATGCCGTCCATATACTGACCCAGCAGCCCCTTGGCGCACTCATGAGGAGCCCCACTAGCTCCTCAAGGATGGTGAAATGGGCGATCTTCCTCAGCCAATTTCAGATTGAGATCAAGCCAAGGCCATCTATCAAAGGGCAACCTTGGCCGACTTCGTCACCGAATGCACGGCAAGGGAGACAACCGCTACCACCCCCGGGCCAGAGCCCGATGACACATGGATCCTCTTCACTGACGGCTCGTCGGCCGCGAAATCATGTGGCGGCGGCGTCGTCCTCATATCCCCTGAAGGATTCAGAGCCTACTATGCCATCCGCTTCAACTTCAGGGTATCCAACAATGAAGCTGAGTATGAAGCCCTCCTAAGCGGCCTCAGACTTGCCGCTGGCCTCAAAGCCAGGCACATCAGAATCAGGTGCGACTCCAAGCTGGTAGTGGGCCAGGTTGAGGGTACGTACGAAGCAAAGGAAAGCCGGATGAAGCAATACAAACAGGCGGCAGAGGAGTTGCTGAAGGCATTCGAAACCCACAAGATCACACAGATCCTAAGGGCCGAGAACGCCGAGGCTCACATCCTCTCCAAACTCAGCTCGGACACCCCAGAGCACATCTCCCAGTTAGCCAAGATTGAGGAGCTGAGTATGTCCAGCATCCATGCCAGCCCCATCTTGTGCATCCGACAGCGGCCGGAGGACTGAATCTCCGACATCACCACTTTCATCACGACGGGGGAGCTACCCCAGGACGAGGAGAGGGCCAAGCTCGCCAAACTCAGGGCCCGAAGCTACACTATTGAAAATGGCAAACTCTACAAACGATCCTACAATGGCACTCTCCTCCGATGCCTGCACCAAGACGAGGCCGAAGTGGCCATGGAAGAAGTTCACTGTGGCGTTTGCTCCTCACACCAGGGCCCTTTCAGTATGTCCCGGCGTCTCGTCGTCCAGGGCTATTTCTGGCCGACGATGGCACGGGATTGTGCGGATCTTGCCAGGAAATGCACCACGTGCCAGGTACTCCAGAAGGCCCCTTGTCGGCCAGCCGTCAACTACGCCCCCGTCAGCACTGCAATTCCTGTTTCGAGATGGGGCATTGACCTGGTCGGCCCTCTACCCAGAGCTGCGGGCAACAACCGCTACATCATCGTCGCAGTCGACTACTTCACCAAGTGGGTCGAAGTTGAACCTTTGGCCAGCATCACGGGGACTAGGTGTCAGAAGTTCGTCCACAAAAACATTCTCACCCGCTTTGGTGTACCCCAAGAGATCATACCCGACAACGGCACCCAGTTCGAAGCGGCACCCTTCCAAGAGCTCCTTCGAGAATGGGGAATAAAGCACCGTTTCTCTTCCGTTGCCTACCCTCAAGGCAACGGGTAGGTTGAGAACGCCAACAGAACCATAATGGAGGGGCTGAAGAAGAACCTGCAGGACGCAGGAGGAAGTTGGGCCGACGAGCTCCCCAACATCCTATGGTGCTATCGTACTACTCCAAGGAGGGCAACGGGTGAAACACCTTTTGCCTTGTGCTATGGCTTTGAAGCAAAAGCACCCACAGAGGTCACCATTCCCAGCCGACGGGTGGAGCAGTATGACCCAAAGGTCAACGAGGAAAACATGAAAATCGACCTCCACCTGGTCGATGAAAGACGTGAACAGGCATTCATCCGAGCAGAGAACTACCGGCGTCAAGTGAAATCGTACTATGACGCCAAGGTACGTTCCCGAGAATTCCAAGTGGGGGACTACGTCCTCCGCCGAAGGGAAGCAAGTCGGCCGACGGAAGGAGGCAAGCTAGCCTTGAAGTATGAAGGTCCCTACATCGTCAGTGCCGTGGTGAAACCCGACACCTACAAGCTTAAACGCCCAAACGGGACCAATGTACCACGAACGTGGAATGTACACCATTTGGTGAAGTTTTATCAATAATCCGAAGGAGGTGCAGCCGGCGAAGCCCTCACCCTTTGACGGGTTATTGATTGAACGCCACCCTCGGCCTTCAGCCACTTTTGAATAAAAATCATGTTTCCTTTGATTTATTGGAGTTCGACTAGCACATTAACAAGCGCCCTCATCGGCCACCTTAGAGCGAAAGGCTCAGGCATGGCCGATGTGGCGCTTCGCATCCGCAACCTTAGAGCGAAAAGCTCAGGTATGCCCCGTTGTATTTTGTATCAGCGAAAGGTTTAGGCCCAGCTGAAAGAGCACGTCGTACAGGCCCCTTAGAGCGAAACGCTCAGGAAGGGCCGACGACGTCTCCAGGACGATGGGCCCGCAAACGGCCCGCGTCTTGAAACGGGAAGTTCACCGCGTCGTCCACGCGCCTGATCGCAGGACGACAGGCCTGAAATCATGACCGAGGTGACAAAATCCCAAAACTCGGGGACGGGCAACGGCAGTCGTTGGAAACCAACCAAAAGCCTAGCCCGCGTCATAAATAGGCGACGGGACCCCCCTGAGATCATGGACGTTATAAACGAAGTCCAAACCGGCCGAAGGGCCATCGACCCCTTCGGCCGAAGCCTGAAAGAAGGACACTACCCGAAATAGGGAACAAAAAAAAAGAGGGAAGCCGACGGCCGTGCGCATTAGCCGGCCCCGAGCAGTAAAAATAAATCCCCGCAAACCAGCCACACATTTGGCTAAGTACATATCAGTTGAATACAAAGGTAACACCACCAACAGGTAACTCGGGCGAAGCGGCCACCCATTACGAGAAAAGTGTCAAGGACGGAGCATGCGCCCGTAAAATCCTAACCAAAGTGGTTGGGTGAAACGAGGTTGGTAACCTTCATCGGCCATGACCACCTGAAGTGCCAACACTTAGCATGAAAAACAAAGAATCATAGTTTGACACTTCAACACAAATCCTGAAGTTGAACACCGGAAAGGAGGCCCAGGACGAGACGGGCACTAAAACACCCACGGGAAAGTTAAACACACGGGTGGCAACCCCTACCGGCCACAAGATTCTTGCTGGCCGTTAAAGGCGCTAAAACCTAGACGGTGGCTTAAGCTGAAAATCTTCAAAGGAAGTTGACCAAGTGAATTCCAACACTTAGAGAAAATTCTAAAGAAACCAAACGCAAAGGAAAAGGCAAAACACCCGGGTACCTTCATCGGCCATACCGTCCAACCTGGCCGACGACGATACTACGCAGAGAAAGTTACATGGCCTAAAAATTGGGCAGTCTCCTCAACGAAGGGGCAGCCTCAAGACGAAGCGGGCACTCAAATACCTGTAGGTGCCCGTCTCGGCCTCGCCAACGACCGGAAAGGTCTTGCTAACCGATAAAGGCACTACAACTAAGGTGGTTTCTCAAGTTGCCACTTAGTGGACTTCAAAAACTTAGAAAGTTTCCCGGAAAACACAAATATCAAAGGCGTGGCCGACAAGGGTAACAGGCAGAGAAAACTACAACTCCCAAACACTTAGACGAAGTGGGCACTCAAAACAGTTGAAGGCACCCTCTTCGG